CTTCGCCCGAGGCCGCCCACGAGCCCCCGTTCTGGGACACGCCGCTGAACCACGGGCTGAACGTGTTCGTGGGCGCCGCCCTGTGCATCACCATGCTGGGCCTGGGCTGCACGGTGGACGCGAACCACTTCGGGGCGCACGTCCGCCGGCCGGTGGGCGCGCTGCTGGCCGCGCTCTGCCAGTTCGGCTTCCTGCCGCTGCTGGCCTTCCTGCTGGCGCTCGTCTTCTCCCTGGACGGGGTGGCCGCCGTGGCCGTGCTCTTGTGCGGCTGCTGTCCGGGCGGGAATCTCTCCAACCTGATGTCCCTGCTGGTTGATGGCGACATGAACCTCAGGTACGCAGCTGGCCGCCCCCTAGACATCTCTCTTATCCCGGTCCACCGCGTTTACGACCGTGGATTCAAGATCAAGAAGGGAGGGCGAGGCGGTTAGACTGAGGCGCAGAAGAGGGGAGAACGTGGACGCGCGGGCTTTGCAAGTCCAGACAGACATGAAGAGGTGGTGTTGCAGGGAGATCTAGCCAGGGACAGAGGCGCGCTGAGGGTCTAGGGGTTTCAACCACAGCTCCCTCACCACCCTCCCTGTGTGCTGGGCTGTCAGGGCAGGTCTAACTGGGAATGGAAGACAAAGGGAGCTGGGAAGCCAAATAGGACTATTGGCTCCAGTAAAGAAAGGAATCTCATCTATAAGACAGTATGACTGAGGTCAATCCAACAAGTAGTATTCGGCAGCTTTACCGTGTCTAATAACAGGGTGCTTCGGAGGATTAAAAAAGAACAAAAGCGTTCCTTGCCCTCAAGATCATCAGACTGTAACCAGCTCAGTAGGCTTTATAAGGCAGAGGGGCAGCAGTCCTGAGGTTTTATTTTTTCTCCTTCCGGAAGTTCTTGTTTCAGTTGGGCTTAGACATGTTGCTCTCTTGGTGTCTCCCTGGGATGAAGCAGGTTCTCTCCTGACTTCAAGCCGGGGGTCTTGCAGTCTCTCCCTTTCTCCTCTACCCAGTATGCAAGCAAGGCTCTTTGGCTCAAAGCTCATTCTGACTTCTGTTCATTCCCTTTTCTGCAGCATCATCATGACCATCTCCTCCACGCTCCTGGCCCTGGTCTTGATGCCCCTGTGCTTGTGGATCTACAGCCGGGCTTGGATCAACACCCCCCTGGTGCAGCTGCTGCCCATAGGGACAGTGACCCTGACTCTCTGCAGCACCCTCATCCCTATCGGGTTGGGTGTCTTCATTCGCTATAAATACAACCGGGTGGCTGACTACATCGTGAAGGTAAGGCCATTCTTCCCCTTGTGTGCTATGTAGAGAGTCTCCTCGGTCTCTGACCTGTGGCTGAAATGGTAAGAAGTTTGGGGAAAAGGGGTAAGAAAGAAAAGGCCTGTATAGCCCTTACATGGATAAACTTAAAAAAAAAAGTTTATGTCACAAAGATTACTTTCATTCCATCTTTTGGAATTTCAAAAATAATAGCTTTGATTAAGTACACCAGGTTCATTAAAAACAGCGTAAGAGAACTCTCAGGACTCATAGGAGGAAACGTCACGAAGGGGAACAGGTGACAGTGCAATTAAATGGCACGTTTTTCCACTAACAAATCATGCATTACTGAAAATCAAAGCAGATGAAATGAAATCATTTTAAGAGGGTTTGTGTAGTGTTTTAGAAATGCATTACTCTATTTTTTAAAGGTGGAACTCTGAGAAACTCTATAGACGTTTCCTTTAAAATGTTTTTATTAATTTTCTAAAAATAAGTTTACACTAATAAAACCAAAAGTAATTTCAAAATTACACTGTGGATTATAATAGAATACACAAAACTTTGGCTTCAAAGCACAAAATAAAATTAGATCCTGCATAAATAATGCAGAATATATTGCCATTATTAAATTTGTGTCTTTTTTTCCCTATTGCAATATTTCATATGGTTTCTAAAGCTAGTGAAAGGATGAGGCTTTCTATTATTTTGTGCAATATTTATAATATTGTTTTTAAAAAAACAGATGCTTTTTGTAGCAGTAGAGATTTTGTAACAGTTGATTGGAGAAAAAAGTTAAATGTTTGTAAATCAGACTTTCTTTGAGAACTCAAAAATGGTAGTAAATAAGAGGAAACTATGAAGAGGATTCTCATTTTAGGGAGTTAATCAAATAAAATACACAACTGATTTCTGTAAAATGTACATGCAAATTCCTTTAGACATTGAAGAGAAGGGTTACTCTAGTGTTTTAATTATTTAGATTTAAGAAGACAAAATCTTTTATGTTTTACTTATATTATTTTCTAAAGTAATCTGATCATACAGAGAGCCTAACTTTTATTAATATGAAAAATGGAGCATTCTTTTCTGTACGTATATCCAGCGTTGAGTAAAAAAATTGTGCTCTATAATAAATATATATGTCTGAATGTAATAAATATATATGTACATGTAAATATACATATTTGTTATATGTTATACATAATATATCTATAGATCATCTTGAGATCATTAAGAACTTACTAAGCTTGTCATTAAGGTAATATTATTAATGTGATGGCATTTACTACAAAACCGTAGGAATTCTAAGAGAAGAGAGAATCAATCAAATAATCTATTTCCATACTAAAAACAGATAAACATATTTAAATAACAGATAATTCAATAAGACTGGCTAACTTTGAGTTTAAGCCGAACCTGTTCCTTAACCAGAACACTCATAAGATCTGCTTCACATTTCTGTACTTTTGCATACACTTTAAAATGAGCTTTCAGTGTCAGTTCTTACCCATATGATTTAAGATAGTTCAAAGGAAACATTGGAGACAATATTTTCACAACGAAGAATCCAATTTCTTGTCAAAGCTTTTGATGTCGACACACTTTGAAACTTAATATAAGAAAAGTTTTAGGGGGAGGATATGGTTCAAGTGATGGAGTACATGCTTAGCATGTGTAAGGTCCTGGGTTCAATCCCCAGCACCTCGTCCAAAAATAAATAAATAAGTAAATCTGATATCCTACCCCCCAAAAAAATTAAAAAAAAAAAAAGGTTTGGTTTCTGCCAATTGTACATTTGTAGCATGAGTCCCTTAAATAATAATTATTTTAGCATCCTTTAGGGTAGACTTTTTGACCAGCCCAGATAAATTTTGATTAATTTTTTAGAGTATAAAGTGTATGCCAATCCCACAGACTTCAAAGGGGTTTCCCCCTAGATATCTAGGGAACCAGAAACAATTCTTAAACTCGTCTGGGTCTGTAGTCTCCTTCAAAAACACCCATCCAACCCCCTCTCCCAATTAAAAAAAAAAAAAAAAAAAGCTAACTACTAATCTGAAGGAGAACAAGGAGAGGAATTTTTAGGTTTCCACCTTGCTATTTACAAGCCTGTCTTGCATGAGTGAAATGTACTGGTCAGACATCAAGATGACACAGTGCTTTATACAGTCAGTTGTTCTGTAGCTAAAATCCATCTATTATCTATAATAATTCCTAAGCATCATTAGAGACTTACAAGTGGGAGGATTCTCATGAACAGACGAAAAAGCAGGGAGTTGTGGAATTACAAAGAATTTCTCACATCTTATATTTACATTTTTTTCTTTTCTCTTACCAGATCTACGAGTTGGTAATTGTTTCTGTATTGTGAACAATTTTCGGAGATATAATAAAGTATTTTGCAGGTTAAAAATATGACACTCAGTTTCATAAATTTAATAACCTTTTATCTCATGTAAAACCAGAACTCATTAGAGGCACATTCAATTTGACACAACATTGTAAAGTGATTATAACTCAATAAAAATGTTTAAAAAATAAAATACATACATACATACATACATACATACATAATAAAGAGGCACACTCACAAACTAAACAGCCAGGATTCCAAAATGGAGTTATGGGATTGAGGATGAACACCTAGGACGGTCTGCCCCCGGAGAAGAGTAGCCTACCTTTCATAACTGTTTTCTAAATTTTTGGAGGCTGTTCTGCAGGAGGAGTAGTCTGTCTGGTCTGTGCTGCTCCCGAGGGCCTGTCCAAGACAGTGGCCAGCAGCTGTAGAAGGCAAATTGTCACTAGACATAAGGATAGGTCTTCAAACAATCAGAGCTGTCCGGCATGGTCTGGATGCCTCCTGAAGAGGTGATCTCCCCATCTTCAGACTCTGTCAAAGGCTTTTAATGGCGAAGATCTCCATTTTGTGTAGGAGGCCAGACTAGATGGCTCTTCTCATCCAAAAGCCCAGGATTCCCTTGCCTGAATTTCTCTTCAAATCTGATTTTTGATGGCTTGTTTACCCATTTTCTTTTACTAGGTTTCCCTGTGGTCTCTGCTAATGACGCTGGTGGTCCTTTTCATACTGACTGGCACTATGTTAGGACCTGAACTGCTGGCAAGTATTTCTGCAGCTGTTTACGTGGTAGCGATTATAATGCCTTTGGCAGGCTACGCCTCGGGCTACGGCTTAGCCACTCTCTTCCATCTTCCACCCAACTGCAAGAGGACTGTGTGCCTGGAAACAGGCAGCCAGAACGTGCAGCTCTGTACTGCCGTTCTAAAACTGGCCTTTCCACCACAATACATAGGAAGTATGTACATGTTTCCCTTGCTTTATGCCCTTTTCCAGTCTGCAGAAGCCGGGATTTTTGTTTTAATTTATAAAATATATGGAAGTGGAACATTGCACAAGCAAGATCTTCTAGATGAAGATGAAGATACAGATATTTCTTATAAGAAACTAAAAGAAGAGGAAATGGCAGACACTTCCTATGGCACAGTGAAAACAGATAATTTAATTATGATGGAAACCACTCAGACTTCACTCTAAATACGGAGATACACGGGAGATTCTGCCTTGTTGAAATATTACTTCATATTTATGGTCTGTGGTAGTGTCTATGGTTTACTTAAGGAACAACAATTGGTTCACATTATTATACAATGTAACAGTTTTGATCTGCCTACCAGTAAAGTTGCATTGGTATATAAATCCATTTTCATAAGTTACAAATCAGTCATAATATAACTTGCACCTGGGACTGCTGGAGTGATGCCTGAACAAGTTAAATGTGCTTTTTGGTTTTCACCATGTATTAACTCTTAGAAGACAGGGTCTTGGAAATGTAGAATTTTGACCCACTATCTCGTATGAGTAAAAACACGCTATATTTGTAAAGCATAGTTTAGTTTAATGTAATTGTTGTAAAAAAAAAAGTGCTCTCTCAGCTTATAAATACTTGACACTGTTAAAATTTGACCTGTATTCAGAAAAATCCTAAAACAGGTCAATTAAAACCATGCAATATAGTATTTTATTGTCAAACCTGTATCAAATCAAAAATTACATTAATGTATTTGATTACTTGATCTGATACCTATTTGTAATGAACAGCCAACATTTTTTCTAGTGGACAAAACATTTTCTTTTCAACTGGGGACTGATCTGGTCTTCTGCATTTATGTAAACACACTGTAAATCAGTTTATCTTTTGGAGGGATGATTTGTAGAACGACTATTCACCACAGAGAATTGCCATAGTCATTAGTCCCTCGTGGAACTCAGCAGCACCTCTTGCTCACTATTTGAGGTGGGGGTTGGGGGAGGAAGGACGTTCTCCAAGGGAAAAAACAATTAGCCTAGATACGGGTGCCCTGGAGGGCTTTCCCTCTGCACTTACTGAAAGGGTTGAATGCGTAGATTTTACAGAGCAGCTCTGAGATAATTAAATAAACTGTAATCTGAGATCCTAGGTATCAGACCCAAACCTTCGCATTTTTGCCCACGCCACAGGCTAGCTGAGCCTCTCCTCAGCTTCCCGGGGGGCGCAGATCCCGGGAATAATCGAGGGATGGGGGCCACCTGTCTCAGCTCATCCTGGGGGAATCCTCTTCACCTGGGGGCAAGTTCACTTACGGATCAATTCTTGCACCACAAGAAAGCCTTCTTTGCAGATCATCTAAGGGTATTTGTGCCGATTTCCCCAGAGGAGGTCGAGGAGGGGCTCCCTCGGTGGGGACGCGGGGACACGAGTGGTGGCGGGAAGGGTGCGGGGTCCGCGCTGCGAGGCTAGCGGGGGTGGAGCCCGCGCCCGGCTGCCCCCGGAAGGCCGCCTATTTAGGGCGCAGGGGCGGCGGACGGGAGCGGCAGGGGTGCGCCGATGGCTGCTCTGGGGGACGAGGTGCTGGACGGTTACGTGTACCCGGCGTGTGCCCTTTACTCGTACCCGTGCCCCTACCCGGCCGCCGCCAAGGGCAAGGGCGCGGTGGGCGGCGGAGGCTGGCGGC